GCGCCGAGCCTGTATTCCTCTTTTGTTATCTCTCTCTATATTACAATTTTAATATAGTGCTTTCCTTTATTAAAATGCATATACATTTTTTGCATGCTCTGTGTGTATTTTATTTTGCGTATTTGGAAAAGAGGTCTTCAGACTGTGAAAGGAGCCCCTGTTACAAAGGGGTTTGGAGTACCCCTTGTTCTAGGATGTTGTCTCACTTCATGGTCTCAGCTGGGCTGCTGCCTTAACTCGTTTGCAGAACTGAGGAAGGCGGGAGAGAGAGCGTGGAGGAAACAGGATACGCTCACCTCTGCTTACATCCAGGGACAGACTCGCAGCCACATTCAAACACAACAGAGGCTGGGAAGTATTATGGGTCTGGGCTGTCACACGCCCAGCTACAAGTTTCTTTTACTGGTGAGGAAAAGGATGACTAGCAATCTGTGCATGCTGGCTCATCTGTGTCTGAGGATGGCCAGGTGTAAACATAAGAAGACAAATGATAACAGGTCGCGGCCAGGTTTCTGACTGGGGGACATTCACAAAGACAGGCAGAAGAAGAAGTGAAAACATCCCCATAGGACAAGGTGGTGCTGAGATTCCTGTGAACAGGGGTATATTGATAAACCTGCTGTCTCGAGGACATTTTTACAGCCTCTGCTGGTTTCCGTGAAGTACAGACACACATCATGGCCTATTTCACACTATCATGATGATGTCCAAAAGAGAAGCTGGAAAGACATGTGTACAGTGGGGTCTCATAAACTATTCTAAGCCGGGTCCAGTTCCCCTCTGCTGGTGAGGATTTCCAAGTGGAGACCTCCTGAACACGTTCACATATGCAGAGCTCAAGCCAAGGAGTAGGATCTAGGTGAGATATTGATTTGGGGACGAATGGGATTGGCCACGAGATTCCAAGAATCATTGTGATTTGCAGTTATTTTTGGTTTGAGATCTTGATTAAGGTTTACTAAGTAGAAAATCGATCCAAAAGCCGTTACAGTATGGAAGATGGGATTGATACAAGTCCAAGACCCTGCCAAGTTTCGTTCTTACAAGGAAGCACTCTGGCCACCCTTGAAGGAGTCGGCTCTGGTCAAAGTTGGTACTAGATCATTGGAAATGTTAGACCAAGGATATGAGCAATAGAACTGCTTTGTTGTCAGGACCAGGATCTTGGGATACATATATCAGCAATCCAAGGTGAGTGGGCTCAGCCTGCAGTGAGTCTTCTCTTGAGTGCAGGGATCTCTGAAGGACTGTCCTCCAGAATGCCCATCAATCTAGAGAAGGAACAGACCTATAAGGAAGTATATATGTATATATGTATATAACACAGTGCAGCTCGGACATGCCAGGTATGCATAACAGACTACGTAGGGAAGCACAAGGAAATAATTATTTATCCTGGGCTATAGTTGTGCTTCATTT